GCAACTCAAAACTTTGCACTAATTTTCAAATTTCTGACTATGGCGGAAAAGGTTTTCTGCCAAGTCGAGACATTTACGTGCGACTCGGCCCATAGAGCAGCCATAAAAATAAAGACCACAAAATCACTGACTAATTTTATTGCCAGGGTTATTAGGCGTTAGCCTGGACCCCAAGACGACGTTCGTTAATTCCTAACGTTTGGAGAACTCAGAACTCTAAGTTTTAAGACAAATGGCGGAGACCATTTCAGATAACGTATTTTTACTTACGATTGGGAGGAAGCGGTGTGATCAGAAACAGCCTTACGCAATAAAGCTGAGCATACGACCGTGAATTCCTGCAAGACTTCTTCAACTGCCAGAAGCACGAAGGCAGAGACCGCTGCCAAACTATCGAAAATTCATTCAGGACTAAACATAGGGGCAGTTGTTCCCCCATGCGTCTATCTTTCCGTTTGGGTGGTCATGCGTATCGAGGGCATGCCAACTAGACAATAACGAGTGACCAATAGGCAGCAGTATGAAAAATTGCCCATGTAACAACTTATATGAATGTCATGGAAATTTCCATAATCCTCAGGGCATTCTTCAGCTCCGTCCACCTTTCACAGAAGACAACGAAGACTGGACTGGTTTATGATCAGTAGGCAAGTCTTCCTTCGGTCCTTAAAATAAAAATTAGTTTTTTTGATAACCAATCCGATAGATCGCTCCGCAATGTTTATTTGCCAATGACCAAATATGTTTTGCATTGTAGAGCTTTCACAATGCGCAACAAGGACATTGAATGTTCGGGATTTTGGACTCAAATTGAAGCCCTGGAAGGGAGGATGCACGACTATTGAGTCAATAACTGAAAGTTGACTGCTCCCTGAGGAAATTCGATGGATGGATGTCCAATAATTTCGTTCTCCAGACTGTCAGTTGGCTCAGAAATCTGCATCTTTCTGCCTAACGTTGGCAGTCACCTCTGGTCACACGATAAATGAAGAATTGTTTAATAAGCGTAATGCGTACCTTTGTTTATAGCCGAGTCGAGAGACGGCTATACTTTGAAGTCATGGTCCCTCTAGACAACGCCGGTCAGAGAGGAAATGCCATACGGTGTGAAATGCAATCGTCAATAAGCGGCCTAGCATCAAACGATATTGCACTACATTGTAACAGCGCACCCCTAGTGAAGCACGTAAACAGGCCACGCTTCAGGAAATTATGTGCATTCAGAGCAATGGGGTGAACCAGGCTCTATTTCGTTGGCCTAAGCAAATGCTTGATGGTCCCCAGCGGCGTTTGAGGATCATGCGCCCCTGAATAATACTTCATCTTCATCTTCCATCGCCTCTTCTCTTTTCGGGGAGGCAGACACGTCAGACAGTGCTTCCAACGTTCCCGATCCTGCGCCAGAGTCTGAGCTTCGGCAAAAGACAAATGGAGTCTGGAACAGATTCCTTCCATATGTTTGCACCAGGTTAATCTTGGCCGTCCCCTGAGCCTTCTGCCGGTCGGATTTGCAAGAAAAAATTGCTTCGCCTTCCTTTCTGGAGGCATTCGCAACACATGGCCAAACCAACGCAACGACAACATTCTCCATTCTCCCCTTTTTGCTTCCACGAATGACCAAGTAATTTGACCGTGGCACCCTCCCAGCGTGTTCTTAATGACCGAATGTATGTTCGTGATCCAGCGGGACCCTTTTGAAGTTCTTGGTGCCCATTAGTTGTG